ACTTTATAAAACAAAATTAGCTTCAGGTAATGGCAGGTGTTCTTATACAAGACATATGAACCGCTATGCATACAGTCTGTACCAGGTCATAGCGATACAGCTAAAAGAAATGATCATAATAAAACGTGTCATCTCAGTTGACAGATAATTATTTGTCGTTTGCCATGACCTATTTGTATTAAACACAGGAGAAAAAAGGTTTACAATGAATCTAAACACCTTAATTTGAATGTGTCTACTTAAATGTACCAGTATACAGGCTACCCAATCATTATAATGGTAACACAACAATGATAAAACAAGTAGCATAAATGATAATAATTAAGGATAAAGAACACACACCTAAATGAAACTCTCGATCATAGTAAGTGAAATGTTACAAAATGCGTGTGATATTCAAGATATTGCTAAATGTCACGTGAATCAAAGGTGACCCAGAAAAAGCCACCACACTAAACTGAAATGAAGAGTCTCAAATGGGACCAAGCATCACTCTACAAACCACTCGCCTCCCCATGGACCCTACGTCCAGTCAGCCAGCCCTGGAGCAGGCTCCTGAGGCTGGTTGGTTTGATGGAGGTGGTGGAGGACACGCAGTCATGAGTGTTTTTAGACCATGAAGCTGATGAGGGTGATGAGAGTCCTGCAGCTCATGGGGAGAGCAAATGTCATTTATGTTCTTCACTGTGATCCACTGAGGGGAGCAACTGTCACTGAACAAATTTACAACCAATTATTATCAACACCCATAATGCAGCGATACAACAATTAGTCCATTAACACAAAATTAACCTGCTGTGTCATTTAAATAAATGTTTTAGTTATTTTTCAGGCACATATTTGCTGGTTGAAGCCTCTGAAATGTGAGTGTTTGACATATGTCTTTGTATTACAAGACAGTAAACGGAATATTTCTGGATTTGAAACTGTTGGTTCAGTTAAAACATGATATTAAAGCCTTTACATTCAGTTGCAAAGACACATTTTTCACCATTTCTTGGGAAAAAAATACGGATCAAGCAAATAATCAGCAGTTGGTTGCACTCTTCTTTTAAAGACTAAAACCAGGACAGAACCATAAACACTGAATTAATTTCTAGATAGATGGAAAAACTCAACTGTAATCCTAATTATTTTATGAGTCACTCACTGGTTTCAGCTTCTCTAATTGAGAATTTGCTGCTTAGAGGTAGAACAAATGATTAGCCACAAAACAAGCAGAATACGACTTTATATAAGAAGGAAAACTGAATGTTAGGAAGTAAACATGGTTTAACTTGATATCTGCAGACATGACTGGGTGCAGAGATAAATCTGATTTCTGTACCGATCTAGGAAGATAATGACATTACAAGCTGTGTCTTTGGATACCCTCAGCAGGATCTCAGCAAACACAGTGGAAACACTTTCTCACATTTCACTGCTGGGATTTACTTTTATCATCAGATCAGGAAGAACAATTCAGCCGCTCGGTGCTCCAACAGCGTCTTTATTAAAACCTGGACGAGCTAACAGAGTGTGTGTTGTGAGTGTTTTGCTTCTACTCCTGCTCGGTCTGGCTGTTTGTTTAGGCCAGCAGACGGCACTGGGAGCCGTGAACCTCGTGCCCTGAGCGGGAAAGAGAGCTCCTTTGTGTCGCCTGTGCAGGTCAGAGGCTAACAACACTCACTCATTTACTGCACCCGCTTCTTCCTGTTGGTTCTCATGGGAGGAGAGGTGGGGGGTTCGAAGCCTGCATCCCAGCATGTAGCAGGCAGGAGGTGGAGGAACATGGAGCCTCTGTGAGTGGGGTTGTGTCTACCATGTTTATGTTATGACCTGCTGGAGCTGGACCCACCGTCTGCCACTTTCAAATTGAAAAAGCTCCTGGATTTTGTTTATTCGTGTTGCTTCTCTTGGATGTTTGAGCTGCACTCTGCAGAATGATGGATGTTCTGATTTTTACACTGGAACACTGTTTTCAAACCCGTCTAGCAGCTCTGAGCTCACCTAGAAGCTGGTGTACACCGAGTTCAGGCTCACGTCTTTGGACAGTTTGAACTTGGCAAGTCAAGCTGAAGTCCAGAGCGACGAGAACAGGACAAATGTTCATCTTAGTGATGACAGCAGGCATCAAACCAAAGTCTGCAAAATTAAAAATTGCCGTGACATGCAGTCAAAAGATAAAGTGCTGCAATCGTAAAGCACATATTTTTATATAGGTCATGCTGCCTCTCTTTGTTTTCAATTCATAAGGACTCACTGACACTTTATTCTAATGCAATCCAATACAAGCACTCTACTTTTACAAAGCTTCTATGTTTCCAATTGTTGTTGATGCTGTCGACTTTATCTTTATTATTGAGGTCGTAGTGCCAATATGAGGCAGTTATGAGTGCTGCTATCTTGCACTGGCGACATAATATACAACCAGAGTCTGTGCTGGATGCACTGTTTCCTAACTGTCCACTTCTAGCTTCAACTATGTTTCCCTCACAGAATGGTTGTACTCTAAATGAGGTAAGAGGCAGGATTGATAAACCTTGCCTGTATCACTGCTGCACAAACTCTTTTTACAGATAAGACAGAGCTTTGATAAGCTCGAAGGAAAAGCAATGCGATATAAGTGTGATACATTACTAAAAATAAGGTCGCTAAAATAAGACTAGAATAGAAAAGCAAGAAGTAATGCTGGCAAATCACTTCACCAGTGCAAGATGACAGCAGCCATTTGTGAGATACTTTGGCTCCACTTCTGGGAAGCTGTCATGGCATCTATCTTTATAAAGATGCACCTCAGTAAAACTGACTGTGTTTTGTGCGTTTCCTTCTGGGAGGACAACCAGCAGAGCTCTGACAAAAGTGAGCAGAGCTGAGATTTACAAAATTGTAACGAACTAAACAAGCGATTAAAATGATCACAGTGGATTGGTAAAGTTAATGCACCCATTGTCGTTGACTATGATCCACCACAGGGACTCATGGGCTGCGCCCGACACCCGGCATGAGGATATATTCCTTTACAAAGCACAGATCTGATGACAGTGTTGCGTTTTTCCCACATTTACGTCTGCACCCGCTGCTTTGAACTCACTTGGTTCCTTTCATGTTGGATAACATGAAGCTAAGGAGTAATGCAGCATTAAAAACTGTCGGCTATGACAGAGTGAATATAGCTGATAACTAAAACACACACTTTGTAATGACTTCTCCTGATGTTGATCTGCCTAATATCGTCAGTATTGGGACAGTCGGTGGATAAATCCGCTCCCAAACACTCAATTGTCTTTTAAATGTTAATGCGATCAATCACTGTCTGCAGCTATTGTCATTAACTTTTGTCTAATTAGATTTTTTCAGTATTTGTTGAACATTTGCCCCTAATTTCAGTTACATTATAGCAAACTGTAGATGAAATCAAGTAAGCAGAGAGTCAATCAGTCATTGAGTTGTTGATGACTAAAAAGGGTCAGAATGGCAAGAAAACTCCAACATCTTCAATTTCAGACACTTTCTCACTTGCAAATGGCTTTTTCTGGTTTAGCCAACTCAATGCAGGATCAATCTGAAACTCTTCACTCATAAAACAAGGGTCATGAAATTCTTCAAAGTCGAACAGCTTAATGTGAGATCCAGTTAAATCAGGTTTTAAAACTAAACACAAACCAAACCCCATCTTGTATTCAATTAAAGGCCAATATACTAAAGCCACATGTGTGAACTTATTGCTACTCAAGAGGAAATGTGCTTTGCTCAAACTAACCAGAACACACACAATATGTCCCAGAGAGATTCCAGACAACTATCAGAAAGGATCTTCTACTTCCGTGTCTGTTATTAACCTAAATACACCGGTTTCCTTTCTAAGGGGTTTTCCCCAATGCCCCTCTGCACGCTGCTGGTTGACTTCTTAAGCTTCCGGTACTTATTATCATTATTGTTGTTATCTACAGAGCTCCCTGAGCAATCTGACGCCATCATTAACTCTGTAATACCACCCAGATTCAACAGAGGACTCAGAAGGAAGTGGGGTCAGCTCCGTTTAAAAGTAGGTATCCCATGAGCCTCAGCCACTGATGAACTGAAACAGCCTCACAGGAGCTTGAGCTGCTGTACGGTGGCAAACTTTGGCAATTTAGCGCAGAAAACAGTTTCTTGTTTCAGATTTTAAGAAATATTAATGGAAGTTACAGAAGGTGGAGACTGCTTTTACCCCAATTACATCATCATTCTCACAGGCCATTATGTGAGGGGATAATAGAGGTGGAAGAAGACAAAGAAGGACAATAACAACAAAAGGACAGCCTGGCCTGTGAACCCTCTCTGACACTGTGATGTGGTCACACGTGGGTCAAAACACACGTTTTTTGGGGGGCGATGGACCGCGTTTGTTTTCATTGTGAACACGTGACACTTCACACAGTCATCTCTCCTCTGTGAATGAACTCTTGTGACTCTTTGCATCTGACATTTAGTTTTATGTAGCAGGTGGGAAAGTATAGCATTTGTAATTTGTCATCTGTAGGTTTACATTTTCACAAAAGACATCAAACCCATCTCTAATGTCTTAATAAATGTGCATATATTTGAAAACAATCGTGTGTTTATTTCACTTTTTGCAGTCGCTTCTTCTTATTTGTTCATAATTCCTGCCAATTATGTTTGATAAACACAATAAAATAGTCAAAATGAGGTAAAATGTCCATAGTTTTACCAGAAGTCAGAGGTTAAGTCTACAGTCTTTGTTCTGTGTCATAAGCAAAAACAACAAAACAAAACAAAACAAAAGCTCAAAACCTAAAAATAATCCATTTTAAAATGATGTAAAACAGACATGGACAAATCCTCACTAGTGAAGCTCTGAACAGATGGACAGCTTTTCTACATCAGTGGATCAATCTGACAAGAAGTGACAGTTCATCAACTGCAGGTTGAGCTACTTCAATGTTTTTAATGTCTTTGGTTTATTTGAGCAACTAATTCAGGTAATAATGACATAAAGATGAGGTGGTAGAACTCACCATTTGCATTCTTGCCACAGATGAGGTGCTCGTAGGCCTGCAGCAGCCCCCACAGCTCCGCGTCGTTGTTCACGGCTCCGTCCAGCAGCTCCGCGGTCACCGGGCAGCAGGTGACCCCGTCGACCGGTCCCCCCTCCAGCTCGGCGGCCAGCCTCGCCGCCTGCAGCCCCCTTCCTGCCACCTCCTCCGCCAAACTTTCCACGCACGCTGTCAGGCAGACTGCTGCGTACTCGTGCACGCGCACCGACACGCGTGTCTCCACCATCCACCTGAAGAAGCGGCCCACGGAGAGCGTGAGCCCGCAGCGCGCAGACTTGCCCTGCTGACGCGCAGTGTCCCCGGAGGTCATGCAGTGCAGGGACACGGCCTTCACGGCGGAGGAGACGCACTTCTCGGCGAGACCCCAGCTCAGCACCAGCCTCACTGCGCTCTGGACCTCCAGGCGTGTGCACCGCCTGTGGAGCTCACTCAGCCGCTGCGCTTCCCGGGAGATCCGCACCAAAGCCCGGCGGAGCAGGACGGACAGCCGGTGCACTGCATCCCCGGTGAAGGACGCATCCGAGCTGACAACTTTACGCACGACTTCCCGCAGCTCCTGCTCGGTCCAGGGATACTCCTCCAGCTCGGGCAGGCAGGGACACTTGGCCAGGATGTCCGCCGCGTCCTCCGGCAGCGTGCTCACCGTGTCCCAGCTGCCGTTCCTGCTGTACAGGGAGCCGGCGTGCTGCCACCAGGAACCCCGGTGAGGTGTGCTCGTGTGCGGCGGAGACTGCCTCGACCTGCCGGAGGAGGACAGGCTGAGGGATGGGCAGGGGTCTCCGGCGACATAGCCCGAATCCAGACTCAGATCCTCCAGAGTTTTCACCAACAGACTGCTGGACATGATGTGGAGAAGTTGGGGTGCTTTATTACTCGATCACTTTACGCACAGTGAAGAACCGAGTCAAAGTTTCCCATTAAGTTTCGGTCTCAGGTCAAAGGTGTGAACCTCCGAAATGAAGCTGCCAGGAACAGCCAGCTCCAGCAGACTGCCCCGCTGTGCCAAAACTAACCACAATATGAAGAGGTGAGAGAGGTGTTTTACGCACAGCGAACCAATCACATCCAGAGTCCAGTATCAACCGATTCCTGCCCTTTAGCGCCTCTCTGTGGACACATTGCGGCCTGACTCCAACCAAGACTGCAGCTCAAGTGATCTGCATTCACCTGCAGGTTGACTGTCATCCAAGAAAAAAACGTTTTACCAGTTTTCCGAAGATTGGCGCGTCTCCGTTTCTCATCCGGGTAGTTGTGGGCGCCATCTTTTCTTAAATGTTTCAGTCCACTCCCCACCAGTTAGTAAAATATTTAACTGCAAGCATTTTTTTGGTAACCAGAGCCACTGACAAAATGTTAAATCACAGCATAGAAACTGTCAGATAGTCGAAAGAGTAGCCCAAATTTAAGTAAGTAAGTAAGATAGTTGTTTTTGTCTACAGAGTCTTATGGAAAATTATAAACAGATCCTGCTTCTTGATGTTGCTATAGTTCAGTGAGTTTTGTTATTCTGGTGTTTTCAGCAGATATTTTGAATAAATAAGTAAGCCGTATCTGCTGTTAGGAGCTCCTGTTTGCTTTGTACAGTTGGATATACTGACAACTCTCACTCAATTACTTTGACACTGAGGAAAACTTTAAAACGTGATAATTTTCAGGTAATTTATGTTATTATGCAGTGTGTAATGTTCATCAAGTTCTGGGGCTATAAGGAATGATGGCTATAAGGTGATCCCATTATTTAAAATCAGGTTTCCGTTGAATTATTCTCATGAAAATCAAATGTAGTGATATAGTGAGTGAGTCAAATTGAATGTAGAAAATACCTGTCCCATGTGTATGTGTTCAGATTTAACTGAGTTATTACTGACTTTTGACTCTACACTTAACTTTCAGTTGTTTTTGCAGCATCTGTCTTATTCTCTTTGCCTCAGTCCACCTCTCAGCTTGTAGTATAAATCCCCTACATGACATTTCCCCCGACACTTCGACACTAAGAGACACAGAAAAGACACAGAAAATCAAGGAAGATTAAAGTTGTATTGTTTCAGCTCCAGCGTTTCTCCAATCTCCTCCGTTACAATGTCACTATAACCGGATCTCGTTTAAAGACACTGAAGACCAGCAAATTTGTTCAACTGCAGCTACTTTGACACACAATTATTCAAACCATTTTGAGTTTCAGCATTGAAATATAGTCAAATATCATAAAGCATATTCACATAATTCAAAATAATGGCATTCAAATGCAAGATCTGATTAGTTGCTCTTCTTATTTGGAAAACCTTTCTACATTTCTACTCTTCTACTGTGTATCTAAGTAGAGACACGCTTAACCTAAACCAACCACAAGATGTCAGCGTTTCATTATTTCTAAGCACAAAGCTGTAGAGATTTGTCCTAACTCTGTTTACCTACTGGTTCTACAATACTGTACAATCCTAGACACAAGTTTAAAATCATTTGAAACATCCAGTTCCTTGTATGCAACATAAAAAGTCTATTTTCACCCTTCGAGGAGGAAAAGTTCTCGATGGGACGAGCACAAGAGCGGCTGTTTAAATGACTTTTCTAAAGAGGATCAAAACAATAAATTACTGAGCTAGAAAAAAAAACAACAACAACACTTCTTTAAAATAAGCTCAACAGGTTTCAGTGAGTACAATCATAACAGTGAGCCAGCTCACCATGTCAGAGGTTTTTCAGTCCGACACCTGAAAGTTCCCTCGTTTAGAGTCAGATTTAGGTTCAACGTCAACAACAGGAGAACTGAAGCCGATCCAAATAAGGCATTGAGACATTAGTACAAAAAATAAAAGTGTAACTCTGCTAGCAAACGCTTTACAAAGGCTGACCGAGCAGACGTTTTGTTATCTGACAAAACTATTACAAAACTACAAAAATGTTTTTCGTTTTCTTTTTGTTGTTGTAAAGGGTGACGCCTCGAAGGCTTCCAGTCCGTCCACACGACTTTCCAGGTGATTCAGGCAGGAAACGGGGTCGAAGGAGTTCAGCATCAGTCAGCGGGAGTCTGAATACAAATTCTCAAGGAAACATCCTCTGTGCACAAAAAAAGGGTTATAAGGGGGGATTATATTCTTTCGAAGCATAACAATCTTGGCAGTGCTGGGGTTTGTTCTGCACGCGTCAGGGCTTTTAGCGAGTAATAAAGTAACCTGATAATCACAAACGTCCATTTTTAAGTAGTATTTGGTATTTATATGTCATTGGTGGAATTCTTTTCCGTGAAGTTGGGAGACAAAATCCTAAAACACTGAATCCTACACTTCCCATGATGCAATCTGATAGCATGTTTTCATTACATCCTCCTTTCCTGGTAAACATTCACACATTTTAACTGCAAAGAGGCAAATTGTGACATTATCAACAAGTAATTTACTGATCTGTTTGAATTTTGTCATGAATTACACGTACGGTGTTTGTAATACAACTTTTGTCTATCACACTATACGTCATGAACACCAACATCACACTGGCATATTTTGGGAAAATATCCAATATGTCAATGCCAAAACATATTGTTTTGTGTGTTAATTGTAATCCTGTAACTTTTACTTTTGAAATGGTGCTGGAGTCGACTTTGTACATCGTGTGTTTAGGCTCCTCTTGTGCGAAACACATAAAAGTAAGTTAATGACAGTTTTGCCAGGAGCAGGATTTCTTAAATTCTGCAATATCAGATATGTCCATGTTTATTAACGTAGTGTGTGTGGGCAAACCAAACAAGGGTTCTATGCCATGAATAACACATATGGTGGTTGGTCATTTAAGAAGTAATTTTGCAGAATGGGACACTTTCTTCAAAAGACACTGTTTAGGACTGTTTATTTTTGCGTGAAGCTGCTTCGTGAATTACATCTCTCACCAACATTAAATTGGCATAATTTCAAAAGATGTGAATTATGCCAATGCCAAGAATTTATGGGTGTAAGTATATTTAATTTGTGTATTATTTTTAATCCTGTAACTTTTTGCTGTTGTGTTTAGGCTCCTTCTGTGCAAAAAAACATAAGAAATCAATGAAAATAATATTATTTTTGCACAGATGAGAAGTTCAGGTTTATAATCATAATGTATGTAGGTTGACTGAAAAAGGGTTTTTGGAGTAAATACGTGAAAGCAAGCATAATTTTTTCCACGTGATGTTAACAGGAGCTCCTTCAGTTACATGTTTTATTGTTTTAATGGTATTGACTGTAGAATTAGCGCCACCTGCTGTTTATTTCTAGCCTCTAATATTCACAAAACTGTCCTGGCTGTAAACGGTTTTTAATTGTTTTGTTTTCTTTTGCAGAAAAAAGCACTACATTTGGAATTTGGATGAATACCATATGAGCGGTCATATTTTCCCCTTTAGAACTTTGGTAAATGACCTACACAAGTGAATTGAATATACAAATATTCATTCATCATTCTCTCAGTGTTCTCACGGGCATGTGAGTATTACTAAGACAGACTTGTAAAATCTGTAAAAACCTTATTTTCTTGAAAATAAAAGTCCTGAAAGTTGGGTTTTGCAAGGGCACATCAGGGTTTAGATGCAGCAACGTGAGGGATTCTGTAAAGGAGTTATTCGCCTCTACACATACTGGAATTCACAAATCCTTGATAAATAAGGGCTCTGCTGTCCTCGTCAGTGTTTCCGGACCAAACAAATGTTGACTTCACCTACGTGTCTGTTGACCTGGATGACTGGGAATCTGTGCTGACATTTTCAAACATGTTTGTTGTTGCACTTCAGGTGACAGTTTAACACCCACAGAGGGAGTGAGGTGACAGCCACACTGTCACATCACAAAACATCTGATTTAAGTACCTAAAGGAGGAAACTGCTTCTTACAGTCACTACAAAACATCTTAGAAAGTCAGATAATAACAGTATCACCTCTTTGAAATTCACAAATTAGATCACCGGTATCAATATTGGTCACTCTTTAAAGCAATTATTGCTTGACGCTGTAAATCTGATAAATTGTTCCTCTGTGGTACCAAATTAACATTAACCACCAAAATTGATCTTTTTACATGTAGGAGCACGATCAGTAAACTGCTCATCTGCGTTTCGGTGCTCTTTTCATGAGATGTCTGGGGTTTCCTCTGAGTCCTGGTTCTTGCTGGAGGGCAGAGCTGAGGCCTGCTCCAGCAGCTGGGCCAGGTAGTCGTCCTCGGCTCTCTCTGCCGCCGACAGGCTCTCCGACTGGGCCAAGCCTGGAGCCGGCGAGGCCGCCTGGGCCACGGGTGCCGAGACAGTCCGCGGGACCCTGCAGGAGAGCGGAGTGGCCGAAGAGGTGTCGTCTGTAGAGGCATCGGTTATTTCTGGAGGCGAGGGAGGAGCTGCAGAGACGTCAGGTTGCGTCTCATCTCCTTCCTGGTCCGGCGGTGCAGGCAGCTGGTCCGCCTCCTCCTCCTCTGCTTGGCTCCCCGGCGGCTGGTAAGGCGGAGGCCCGGTGAGCGGCGAGCCGTCGGGGGTCAGCGGGGCCTGGCTGTGGATGATGATGGGATCTGGGGAAGGCAGCGGGACGTCCTCCTGGTCCACGGCGTCCAGATCCCGGGGGTCCTTGGAGGGGCTCTGGTCGGGGGATATGGAGTCGGGCTGGTGGGAGATGATGTGGAGGCTCAGGCCCGCTCTGGGGAACCCGCTGGCTGAGGATGGCTTCCCTCTGGAGGACTGGACTGGACTCAGCAGCACCGGCAGCTCCTGGCCCAGCGGCTTACGAGGCAACTCATCAGGCTTCCCTGAAAACACAGCAGGAGCAGGAAAGAATGAATGTTTCATTTGTAGCCTGTGGAATGTTCATTTATTCAACATTAAATCCAAAAGTCCACATCCATAAATGTAAATGAATCAAGTCATATCTGTACACATCCATATTTCTTGTACATTGTTTTTATTCTAACTTAATTATATCTTTATTTTAGCCTTATGGTACTTCTGTAATTCTTGTCCTTCTTTAATGCTTCATCTCTATACAGCTGCTGTAACATGTACGTTTCCCCGATGAGGGTTCAATACATTTCATCTGATATTATAAATAAATACATATACGTACATAAAAAAATACACAAATATGGCTATAAAATAAATAAATAAGGCAATAAGAACACACATATATATGTAATAGTTATAAAAGAACTACTTATATTTATTTTCAGGGAATTTTGTTTTCTGATGCCTCATTCATTGATAGAATTTATTCCGAAACCATATTTATTAATTTAATTGGACTATGCATTTTCTTATTCATGTATTCATTCAATATTGAACCGCTGAATGTCTGCGTACCTGGAGGAGGAAGGTCCAGCTTCATCTTCCTCAGCTCCGTCATGGAGGCCTGCAGCTGCTCGATGATCACGTCGTCGCTGTAGAAGAAAGTCTGAGCGATTCTCTCCTGCAGAAACTCCCTCAGCTCCTCCAGAGACATCTTCAACAGACGCTCTGCACACAAACAGCAGACATGTTAAACCCATAAAACTGCCTCTGCTGGGCTGCATGGATGTCGTTCATCTCTCATCTGACAGGTGGCGTGTTTGAAAGAGCTGCACAAGACTGGAGCCGAGATATAAACCTCACAGCATCACTGTTTACACTTAGATGGCATTCAACACTTGGCAACCTAATATTTTTTTGTCAGATATAGACAAATCTTGTTTACGATCTTTAAAAAAAACTGCTGATCTGCTGTTTAATTTAACCAAACAGCCATTTCTGGAGGCCAACACTTCTTTATGCCCCAAAAGCAAACACACAGTGGTGCGTTGAGGGTTGAAACTGAAGGTTAAAAAAGGTTTAATTCATAAAATCTTCTGTTTTCCCAGGTGATATAATCAAAGGTAGAATCCAGACATACACTGAAAACAGGAACAGGTTGAAGTCAGCAGTAAGCTGGTTAAATGACATCATGCTCAGGCTGAGGTATTTCTAAAGAAAACTAAAATGTACAGAACTCATGCACTGCTGAAAAATGACATGTAGCAGCAGGGTTTGGAGGGTTAGTGACGTGAGGCCAATATAAACACAGTTCAGAAGTATTTTTAGGGTGACAGCTGACTTGTTTTCATGTGGAGAGTCAGTCAGTGAGCGGATGCCTGGCAGAGACAAGTGCCATCATATTAAATAAACATATGAAACTGCAGCAAAGAGAGTCTGAGATGAAACCATCCTCAACACCAGTGTGAATTATGTGCTGTAGAAAAATCCTAATTCTAAGCCTAATCTCCAAACGGAAATCTGACTCGATCAGACAGTGAACTGTCTTTTCTAAAGCATGACAATATGTTGACTGGGACAAGAGAAGAAGCTTCAATGTGAGTTCAGTTTTTAAAAGTTCATCTAAAAGGTGTTCTATGAATGAAACGTGCTATTAAGAGGCTGTGCAGCTGCAGAATTAAAACTGAAAAGGTATTTGGGCTCAGATCAGATGGGCTAACTTACTTAACTTAGACTTTTTAATATACATATAAATATTTTATTGTAAATATCAGCACAAATTCTGCCCAACTTCATTTTCTACATTCTGGTCAATTGTTAGACACCAATTTGTGCCTTTTTGTGCTGATTTTGAACTTTTTCTTTTTGTAAGCATCCACGATTTGTACCTTTACTATGGTTTTTTTTATAGAATGCTTTTTTTTTTTTTTTTTTTTAATTATCATACACAGACTACAACAAGATTTAAAAAAATCTGGTACTTGGCAAGTTTTTTTGCACATTAGTTTCCTTATTTTTCCGAAATGTAACAAATGTGAGCTACTGAATACCTTGAAATTGCCCAACTAAACCTATCCATCCAACATCCATCCATCCATCACCTATTCATCCATCCATCCATCCATCCATCACCTATTCATCCATCCATCCATCCATCCATCCATCCATCCATCCATCCATCCATCCATCGACAGCAGCTTCAGATAACACAGTACAGACTTCAGTAGTATCATCAGGAGGACGACCAGAACACAGTTTTTGTATCCACACTAATATTTCACACAACATTCAGCTCTATGGAGTTGTTTTCAATCAGCAGTTTTAGGTAAAGCTTCACTTTCTTTCTTGAATTGTTGGTACGAAAGATGAACAAAAAGATAAAGAAGAAAAAGCTAAAACGTCACTTTCAGACATGAAAAGGTGGTTTTCCTGAATTGCAACTATTTAGAGTTTTGAATTTGCCGCAGGTTTCTCACAAGCTACAACGCTTACCGATATTCAGATGCACCAAGAATAACACAACTTAGAGGCACTTAGGCAGCTCTTAGGGTCGCACATCATTTTTTATTATCAGCTTTTAGTAACTGAACTACAAGGCACGGACTTTCCCACAATTTCACTTTGGCAGACTTCAGAGAAACCAAACAACAGCTGGAAATCTTCAGAATCGCTTGATTTCAGGAGGTTGTTAAGAGGCTAAAGTGACTGTATTGTGTTTGTGGTGTGAAACCTTCAGTGGACAGCATGATTTCTCTGTTTTGTGGCGGACTGTCGGTGGTCTGCTTACTCTTGTGTATCTTCAGGATGGTGTAGGACATGGCGGTGAGCAGCCTCTCGCCCTCCAGGATGAAGATATCCCACAGGCGGAGGGTCAGGGTGAACGGCGTCTGCAGGATCACAAACACCACATCACTGAGACCTAGCTGGGTTTGTTTACGCCGCCGGTTCCACATATGTGCAGCTCTGCTGCCGGCCGGAGTCAGGAGGTTTGTCTGGTTCCCTCCCAGACCTCAGAGGCCCGGAGGCCCCTCAGAGAACAGCGGCTCGGCGGGACGAGAAGTGCTGACAGCGGCCGGAGCCTGCCAGACCTCCACCGCAGGATTGTGGGCATCCATGGAGGAGGCTAATAACAGTTTAGCCTGACAGCTCTTAATGCTCTGCTCTAATGCAACGTCCCCGAGCTCGAATATCACCAGGATGTGTTCTGCTGAAATCATGTAAAATTATCCGGTGAAGGCGATCTGACAGTTTCTCAGTGATTCTGAGGATTCTTGTGTGTTCAGACTCCTTTTCTCACAGATCTTTTATACTGATAAAGTCTGAGTTTCTATGGGTGGCACACAGCTAATGCTAAAAACTGCATTTACTGAGGTTTTCTTTAGTTTTCTGTAAAATCATTCTGCTCAGGAAAGACTTTCGAGCAACAGAAAATATTGCATATTACTGCTGCTAATTTACTTGTGCACCAGTAACTTAAATTTTAACTCATTTTTGGTGAAAAAACATCCTGTAAATATATTATTGGCAGTTTGTTTTGACTTTTGTGATTATTTAGTCAAAAAAAATTGCATTTTGAATTGTGATTTTGTGAATGTGTGAATTTTTGCTGCTGACTGAAAATGATAAAAGCGTTTAACCTTAAATATAATACACTGACTTGGCATTAAATCCTATGAGGTCTTTTTATTTTATCTTTTAGTTTATTAAAGCTCTTCTGTTCTTTCAAAACAGTCTAGCCGATGCAAATCTTCCATTATTGATATGATAACACTTGCAGATTTCTCATATTAGCGTTTATATCAAGTTAAACAATATTTTGTATCATAACATTGTGTTTTTATGTGTATCTCACTATAAAATCAGTCAGTACAGCTATCTTTTAATAATTATGTAGGGGGGATTGTCTGGAATCTGGCAATGTCAGAACCATGGCGGTGGGATGCTGTATGACTCAGAAACTGGGAAAAATATGTCATTATTTTACTCACTGAAGTGCTCACATCTAATAACCAACATGCAGCGGTGGGAAACCAGCCGAATGTAAAGGAAGCAGAGGGTTGAAACTAGGATTACATTTGATGTAAATTCAAAATTACTGTTTCTTTTTCTCGCTAAGGCTTTGTTGCACAGACAAGCAACTGGGATTGTTGTTTGGTAGTTTTATTTAATGTGTACCAACATGTCACTGAAAGGAAAAGTTCGAGAGCGATTCCACTGAGAACAAGAGATGTGAATTTGGATGTAGAGTGAATCTGTTGGGTTCCAAGGGTCAACTAACCAAAAACATTGTGTATTTAATGTCCCACATTTTCATAGAGATAGTAAATGAAGTCATTTATTCTTATTGCATTTAATTGTACATGGGTCTTCTTCAGTTTGATGCATGTTTGCAAAGTTTTGTCAAATCAGGCAAAAAAAAAAACAGCTACTGTAGAAATGAATTAAGGAAAAGTTTCATGTCTGTTTTTGTACAAAACACAAATAAATGCAGAGTTACTGGTTTTCCCAAGAAAAAACTGATCTGAAGGAAACTTAATACTCGTCTCAGGTGCCAAGAAAATATTCACATTTTTAATTAATCAGAAAAAATAAATTATCTTGAGATAATATGATAATTAACTGAGAAGACTTTTTACAAGCTGCTCTCAGATTCTGTCTAATTCCTACTTTAAATGTGGTTTAATTAGCCGGAGGTGAGATAACGAGTGTGAGGTGGAAAGCGGCAGAAGATGGAAACACGTCGCTCACCCTGTCGATGAAACACTGCAGGAACCACTTGGTGCTGTAAATCCCTGCAGACATCTGCTCTCTGTCCTGGAGATGGAAGCAGAGAGTCAGTGAAGCCATAAAGGGCATCAGGCTGTCAGGAAACCACCTTAAATGTCATCACGTATCTCTGCAGTGATGCTTCTCACCAGATGTTTCTTCAGCTTGGGGATGAGTTTGGAGATAATCTGATCGTGATGCGTCTGGAACCGCTGGAGTTTGGGGAAACCGGGAACAAAGAAGCCTGAAAGACAGGAAGACAGAGCAGAGAGGTGCTATTTAATCCCACTGAATCGAATCGACCAGTAATGAATCAGTTATATCCTGCAGGATCTGCATGACTGGAGGAGCTGGAGGATGAATAATCTGATGTATATTTACTCTTTGTATTGAAAACATGCAATAAGCAGAGTTTAGATGAGTCTTCTGTTAAGTATGAAGAAGGCCTTGTTTATATTCTGTGAAAAAAAAGGTGCCAATCTGCTTGTTAAGTCTGACTTAACAGCCAATAAACAGCCTGTGATGACCTTTGAGGCTTAAAAAGAGTTTAACTTGTTTCCACTCCTGCAGAGCGACGAGTGTCGCTGTTCTCCCAGGTGGAATAATCGAGTGTAGAGTTCAGGAAAAGAGGATTTACAAGATTAATAGGAGTTAGACGTTAACGGTAAGCTAGCTAGTTGGCATGTAAAGATGATGCTCTGGCTGAGTTACATCTATAAAACGTTTTAGAAACATTTTTTAGAAACTAAGATAAAACATAATACATGTAACAGGTTTGGGAGGATTAGTGAAGTGTGGCTAGACTCAGTGTTAGCACGGCCTTTTGCAAGTGTTGTCAGGATGAGAGTTGGATTATTTTTATTAAAGCTGCATGTTGAGAGTCACCCAGTGTGAGGTCACAGCAGAGAGATAAACAGATTAAACTGCAGCAAAAAGACAGTCAGAGACTGTCGGATCTTCATAAAATACAGAAAGAATGCAGAGTTATCGGTTTCCCCAAGAAAAAAAAACAGATCAGAATGATTCTTTAAAAAGCACTGGAGACCCTTTAACACTCAGGTGCTGAGAAAATGCTCAGATTTTACTTTTCCCAGAAAACTTGAAAGCCTCAAAGAGGGAGGAGAGAGCAGAGAGGTGCTGTTAAAATCCCACTTAAGTCCAAATTGACAAACAGCGCGTCAGTCAGATCGACCTGCAGGTTACTTAACATTTATCTCCTCTAGTTCATGTCAGAAACACACAGGAGCAGCGTTCAGATTGAGTCCACTGTGTGCCGTCTCACCGTGCATGCCATGCCTCTGGTTGGTCAGCAGCTGTGACAGCGCCCAGAAGGCGTCCTCCTCGTTCATGTACATGAGCAGCAGGGCGGCGATCTGACTCATGCCCTGACAGTAGCTCACCTCCTGCAGGCGACAGAACATGAACAAAAACAGTCACATCGAGGGTTCAACGCCGCTGCAGGACTTGGAACTCGACCTGAAACCTCAGGAAAGCTCGAGTTGGCTCACACAGAGAGGACTTCTCTTCATGGAAAAGGCTCTTTATGTACCAACATGCAAATTATAATAATAATTCACTTTCAAAACTGGAGTTACGATTTACACAGCATTAGAAAACAACATTAAAACATTAAAAGATGACACTAAAACATTAGTGAAGACACTGCAATCCTAAAAAAGAGCAACACTAGACTGTAAGAAACGGAATAAAATCTTATTTAAATGCCTGTATATGTGGGTTTTTAAAAATATTTTTAGACCGAGGCCCTACTGAGCTGTTGTGACAGTAAAGATGTTGGCTACAGTATGTGTAAAACGGTTGTTTTCTAAAATTAAAAAAACTTCAGTTTCAATTCAAGGAGCTTGTCGGTTGCTTTGTGCACATACAGTGTTTTGTTTTCCTGGCACATGTCTGGAAATGGCAGTGGCTGGGCTTTCATCCAAATGTAGCACGTAATTACAAGAAAAAAACTAAATGTGAATTCAAACCTGTTTCCGTTCACGACTGTTATGTGATTATTGTACAAGTTGGTTCATTGAGAGACGCAGCTGGTGGAGCTGATTCTGCAGGTATTAAACCATCAGGACCTGACAGAGCTCCAGTCAAAGCAGTGACAAAAAAAAACACGTAGGAAACACATCGGAAAACATCACATTCTGTTTGCATTAACGTGAGGATTGTTATGTTTACTGTTTTTGTCTGCCGATGTTTTTTTTGTCTCTCCAGTGGAATGGGATATTCACAGGTGAGATGCTTCATGTTCATCATCATGTATTTTACTTATTCGTCTGTTGTTGTTGTTGATCAGGCTTTATTAGTGTTAGTTATTGCAAGTATATGGGATTTGTAGCTGAGAGATGCTGCCTAAAATAATTTCTTTAAAAAAAAACAAAAAAACCCTCCCGCTAAGATCAAAATAAAATAAGAACAATTTCATAAAAGCTCAACATTAACATCAGCGTTGCTCCCATCAAGTTTTGGTGCATTCCCAAAAGTTTTAGAGAATACCAATGGAAAATCACCAGAACTGAGAATATAAACATCTTTTTTTTTTAAACCACATTTATTAATTGTGGTTTCATTTACTTAAGCATTCTAGGCATTTTTGTTCTTCAAATGGTCAGAAATAACAATGAAACACAAGACCGATCACGCTTTCTGTCGTGGGCAGTCACCAGTTCAACCTAAATACTAGAGGTGGGACTTTAACGCGTTAATTAGGGTTAAAATAATGCGTTACAGTCCGACCCCATCATACTTTAAAGCGTTAATCACGATTAACTAATTACAACAAAAATAACGCGTTAAAAAAAATTAGCGCACTTAATCGCAGTTTGCATCCAGGAAACACGGAACGTTTGTCAGTGCCTGATTTCATGGTTCACTGATCACAGTGATGCACAAGATGTGTCAGCGCTACGCTAACAACAACAAACATGGAGGAATCCGATGAGAGTGCATCGCATGGACTGATGGAAGGTAAGTTTCATTTTAAAAAAGCTGCCTGATGGAAACCTTGTCAAGAGCATGGTTTTGTGCAACTTGTGCAAAAAAGAATTTGCATCCCACCGAAACACATCAAGCTAGCGGTACCACCTGAATACAAAGCATGTTGCAGCGAGCACAGAAACCGCCGGAGCTGTTAGTGCTAGCAGTCCTGGATAGGGACGAATGGTTTTAACGCGTTACTTTTGTTGTAATTAATTAATCGGAATTAACGCGCTACAGTCCCACCCCTACTAAATACGTATTTTTCGTGAGTGTTGTTCAGATACTCATTAATTAATCAGAAAATGAGAAGGACCAGGATTCGTGCAGTCGGTCACCAAAGCTACTAAACAATTTCCTAATTTTTTTTAACCAATATTTATCAGTATACTGGCATTTTACGAATGTTGCCTAGTGCTGTGATTTCTTTGTAAACAACAAACCTTCATCATCATCGTTTTAGTGCCACGTCTGGGAAAAACCCGACTAATAATGAAAACAGATCAGCAACAGAAACATCAGCAGCAGCTGTAACTGTAAATATCACATTAAACACACACAGAGTGCTGAGGGAGTTCACACTGAACCAGGAGTGGAAAATGAAGTCTGTGCTCAGGAGAGAGAAGCTCAGAGCCGAGTGAAGATTTCTATCAGTTAAATTAAGTTAAGCTGGTATTTTAATGTGTCACGTGATGGAGGGAAAACAGCTACTTACTGTGTTGTAGACTGAATATGCAGAAAGGACGTGAAAGAGAGACTGCTGCCTGTACAGAGGAGACGAGGAAGGAGACAAGGAGAGACTCTTTAGTGGTGATTATGAATTATTATAGATTATAAATACTGAATAAGTTAAAAATTAGACACAAAGTAGCGACTCGAGTTCAAGTCAGTCTGTTTAAATCTACGCTGTGTTTCAAAAAGACCAACTGTCAGCAGCTCTGTGAGACAAAATGAAAACAGTGACAGACAAAACACAGAGGACATAAATCAGAGAACAGAGACGGGAAATAAACACAAAACATATAGAGTTCAAAGAATAATGACTCATATATAGGGGACACAAATGCACAGAAGACGGGACAGACATCACAAAGCAAACAAAACAACAAAGAGAAAACAGGACAATGGCTGGAAGAAAATAAAAACAACACAAAGAGTAGAACAAGTAGAACACAGAGAACACAACACAGTAAATAAAACTAAAAACTGACCACAGAAAGAAGAAAATAAAGAAGATAAAATATGTAGGAAAGGAAACCCAAACAAGAGAAAGTAGAACACAAATAAAGAAAATAGAGCAAAAAACACAAAAAATGAAAATAACAGAACACAATAAAGAGAAACTACAACATATAAAACATGTGATAAAAGTGAATACAAAAAACTGAGAAAATAGAACACAGAGAACGCAAAAAAAACTCAGTAAAACACAAAACTGTGGGGGAAAAAACAGCACAAAAAACAAACAAATAGAATACAGAACACAGAAAACTAAAAACAAAACAAAAATGTACAATGACGGAATACGAAACACAACACATGGATCCCAAAACAATGAAAACAGAACATAATATAAAGAAAATAGAACACAGAAAACAAAGTAAATCACAAAACAAAACAAAACAAAAAAAAAATCAAAAATAGAACACAGAACACAAAAATGGAATAGAACACCAACCAGCCGAACTGAAAACAGAACACAGGACACTAAACAGAAAATAAAACTCAAAGAACAGACTAAATAGAGCACAGGGAACACGTGAAACAGGAAATAAAATTTTAAAGAAATGGACAACAAACTAAAAAAGCATAACAAAGAGCACAGAGAGAAAATGTGGAAAAAAAACAACAACAACAAAACAGAACCCAAAATGGAGGAAACAGAACACAAAAGATGGAGAAAATAGAGATCAGACAACAGAAAAAACTGAAAATAAAACACAACACAGAGAAAAAATAAAAAACACAAACACAAAATGAAGAAAATAGCACGAGTAGAACACAAAACCAGAAGAACAGCACGCAGAACAGAGAACAAAACAACACAAAGACAACAGAACTCTGATAACAAACAACATTCAAGGCACGCAACGACACAACACGAACATGAGAACACAGAACACAATGCAGAAAACAAAGGAGTGAGATAACAAAACACAAAAAACAAAAAGTTCAAAGAGTGAAGAGATGATGAAGAACAAGAGAACAGGAGAACACACAGAGAACAGAGAGAACCCAGCTGAGCAGCACCTCCTCTGTCTCTATAAAAAGCTTCATTCTTTTCTTTTTTTTTTGCAGAGCTGCTGTTAAATATTGAAACGTTGTGCGGCTCCAGACCAACTTTTCCACTGCCGCTCCCCAACAGGCCTGCGGTCCATTAAACTGTCAGTGACATCACTCCGTTACCGGATCGGGTTCCTCGCAGAACTCGGTCTGCCCACCTCTCTCACACTCAGTCCAAGTTCACCACGAGGTCGCTCTATCGCGCTCTCTGCTGCAGCGCTTTGGGGTTTTTTTAGCCAGTTTAATGTGGAAAACCTCACTTTTGATAACAGTTACTGAGCAAAAACACGACATGCACTGCACAGCCACAAGCATGTGGACGTCTAAGCATGTAACTCCACAGCTTTGATCAATAACGTGCAGCTACAAAGGCCTTCATTTGTCTGATTTCAGGTTTTCTCTCTGACATTTATCAATCTCTTGTATTTGCCTCTTCATTTATTCCCCATTATGCTCTGAGAATCTTATCATTGAGGCTTTAATCCACACTAAAACCTGAGGAAGGAAATGCTATCACGGCTGTATGCTTTCAGAATAAACTGTTATTTAACCCTTACATACTGTTTTGGTTCAAATTTGACCCGTTTTGACATTTGAAAGCAGTAAAAACTCCCTAAACGTCATTCTTCTAACAGGAAATTTGACGGCTTTTCCTAAAGTGACCCAAAATACACAATTTTTATACAGTGAGGCTGCTTCCGGTCCAATTTGATGCATATATCCATTGAGATGGATGTTAGATCTACCAGTGTAGAGGTTATTTAGACATTCTAAATAGATCTGTAGTTTAAAATTTGGACACTTACTATGAGGGAATTCTGGACAGAAAGGCATAAAACATGACCAATATGTAAGGGTTGAGTTATAAACGAGGCTGTTCTGCATATTGAATCTAGAAAGTTATAACGTCCCACTAAATCTGTGCAAAAACCTGAAAGCAATTTTAAAAATCCCAGTTTCTCTGCAACTTGATCCCTTAACAGAAGCTAACTGGAGGTTTAAAGGAAAGTTTAGTCCAGATGAAAATGAATTTCAGATGGAAAATTCTCTGAAACTCACTTCACTCCGAAGCGATCCATAAACATGATATGGTTCCGAAAGGTTCTGTTGATGTCCAGGTCGATCTGTTTGATCTCGGACGAGCACAGCCTCGCCTGCTCCTTCATTTTCTGAGTGGAAAACACAGAAAATACTTGCAAAAAAAAAACAGTTTTCAAATGAAGGCAAGACAAGAAATGAAACCTCGTGTAACAGAACAATTTGATAGTTTGATAGAAAGTAATTTAGTGATGCTGACTAGCAAAATAGATGCAACTCAAATTTAGCAGCAATAATATGCATTTATTTTAATGTAATCTGCAAAAAAACATGCATAAAACATGAATACAGGTTGATTTTAACCTTCCGTCTGCTTGTTTTCCTAATCCAGTCCACTTTAAAGAGCTATTGTCTGTCCTGAAGTGTGTGTACTGACTCGTGTAAATTGTAATTTGACACATGTAACGTTAGCTTAGCATTCTGGTAGCTCACTCCACAACACTGAGCTTCATTAACAGTAAATCTCAATGTGAAACACTAATAGGTAAAGATAATAAGCTCACAGTGAGCATGAACATGTAAATACGAAAGTAAATACCATTAGCCAGGCTTCCATTGGTGTAGCATTAGCTTAGCTTAGCAGAAAGACTGAAAACAAAGGGCAGCCGCAAACTTATTACCAGTTATCATCTCAGTTTGAATTAAACTGGTTGAAATCATTTAATGTGTTGCAAATACTAGCTTTTTTGTGTAATTATAATTCATTTTGGCTAATAAGGTTAGCAGGTAGAGTGAAGATTGTAGTAGATTTTTTTTTCTGCTGCTACCAGTCCACTGGTTGGAGAGTCAGCTTCAGTCCACCATGTTGTTTGTGGTTAAATGCAGCCCTTGTTTCTACAGACTATTGAGCTTGTAAAGACGGTTCAAACTTATTTGAGGACGTATAGTTTTTGACTGTTGACCAGGAAAAGGCTAGCAGCTTCCACTCACTTCCAGTGTTTGTGCTAAGCTAAGCTAAAGACGACCTGGTCTACACTGATATCTGTGTTCTTGTCTGACTTTGGAAAAGAGACAAAGGCCTGCAGCTTGATTTTTGACAAATAATTTAAACATAAACACAAATATTTTCAACAAGTCTACTTCTATATAGGGAAACCTCTCACCTGAAGGCAAGTGCTAAGGTTAGGGAATGATAGAATATAAACCGATGGACTGTTATACCTCATATTTGCCCTCGTTCTCCTTCTTGGTCCTCTCCACGTCCAGCATCAGCGCCCAGGCCCGGCCTCTCAGCTGCAGGGGGATGCCCTTGTAGACCCGCTTCACCATCTGACAGCAGAGGGAAATATAAACACTGAGAGAATAAAGAGCCAGAGGGTTTAGAGAGCCGACGCCGTGAAGTGTGAGTCACTGGAAAGTTTAACCACCTACCGTTCCCCTACGACAACATTCACAGGAACACAGCTCGGGTTTTTCACGTTTGGGTAATAATCAGTGAGCGCACAGTGAAAGCAGGTTTGTGACTGTGTCAAACATAGATCGAGTAACTGCTGGGAAGAAAAGCAGAGTTTCTGTTTACTTTAGAGGGTGAAATGGGTTTAAAACTTCCCCATGTAATGGCACATGTTGGCAGCTTCACTTGGAAACGGGGTCTGAGAAGATTTAAGTTTAAAAAATAAAAGAATTCCAAGTGATAGTAGCAGCTCTGACTGCTGGAGGAGACTAATCATCCAAATGATGCTGCTGTTTCTGAAATATTCTTCCTCTTATATGTGTTTCTACAGTTTGTTCATCACAGTCTTTGGTCATAGAATGTAAATAAGAATGAAAATACATTAAACTGACAGTTTGGTAGTTAAACCTCGACTTGATAATTGATGCAACATTGTGTTTACAATCAGTAGTGACTATAGTCATTGACCAACATTACTTTGATCTTGCATGGATGGTGCAATAGTGGTAAATACTGCCATTTTCTTGGTCAATAAATGCACTAATTTAAAACTAAGCTAAGCTGACTAACAGCCGCCTGCACAGCTGTGGCACTTTTGGTCACTTTTACTGCCATTTTTTTTGCATTTTTCTGTAGCTACGAAAAGCAGGAATTCCAAGTTGCTGGACATTTCTAGCACCACTCGGCTGCACCTGTCATGAATTAGGTGAAATTGCTCATTTTAAATTTTCAATTAATTTACATTACTTTATAGAAATCTATTTGTCATGTTGACACAAAAGAGTCTTCTTTTGTAAATTCCTGTCAAAGAAACAAAATTACAAAAACGAAAAACAGGGACAAGGTGAGTAAATATTTTTTAACAGGTGCTGCATGTAGCGACGTGGTTGCTTAAAGGGAATCCAAGTGTAAGTTGGAATTTTTGAGTTTTGCTGTAAAATGTTGTAAAGTGTTCGCCTTACCTTACTATATGAAGTTATAAATTGGTGCTGTATCAATAAAATTTAACTGATTTGAATTGAACTACGCTATGAACTGCAGAGCACAGTATTGCACCAGAATGTGTTGGTCCACAGTGCAAAAATGTATTTCTTTCACAATAAAAGCAGCAGAATTGTGAGACGCCTCTGTTTTTTGGCCTCTTCTTTTCAATTTGGCTGCGTTTACAGCACATGACTCATTGGTTTCTTTTACTTTACATACACCTAGTAGCAACAAAGTGTGTAACGAGGATGGAGGGTTCACTTTCACCCAAAAACTGGCATTTGAGTCCCGGTGTTTTAAGGTGTTTTCATTCACTGCTTTTCTGTTACTGTTTTCAGTGCTTTTGTTTTACGCTACAAAACAGCTTCATAATGTTTAGACACCAAAACTATTAGACTAGTTTAAAGAGAAGATCATAGATTGAGATAAAAAAGGTTTCTGCAATGCTAAGGTGAAAACATGGCAACGTCTCACAATTTTACAGCCTTTATTGTGAAAATACATTTTGCATGTGGACCACCAAAGCTTTTGCACTTTTCTTTTTTTTTGGTTGGACTGGGCTGAACTAAAAATACAGAACCTTTCTTAATAACAGTATGTGTGCGGCTTGCTTCGTCTGTTCATTGAATGAAGGACGTTTTTTTTTTTTTTCTAAACAACCAAACATCCCTGATTACTCAATGTGAGCTAAACGTGGGTTTGCTTTCAGTCACACTGTGTAAAAAAATTCTTAAAATCATCGATCATGTTAAAAAAAAAAAAATCATTTTCTTGGAAATCTGCAGGACTGGCTCCCTGCAAAACTGTTTTTATACACGAGGGTGAAGAGAGTAAAGTCTGCAAGAAACTTAGACCCACACAAGCCACAGAGTTGTTCAAACAAACTGAAATTTTCTTTGTGTAGGAACAAAAGAAAAAAATGAATTGAAAAAAAAAACTAATCCAGAACCCTGCTGGAAACTTGCTGCAACTTTATGTCCTCAGAAAGTTTAGGTCTGGAGTTAAAATGTGAAGTCCAGTGTGCTGAGTGTCTGATTCATCTTTGTTATTTCATCAAACAGACTTCAGTGTGTCAAAAAAGCAAATTTAAATATCAACATAAATCTGCATCAATCTGGCTAAAAGTGCCTGTTGTACATGTCAGGACTCTTGCCAGAAGTTTGTAAAAAAAAAAAAAAAAAAAAGTTGTAGTCGTTAAGATGATAAGCACTGATAAGATAGTAAGATTAATATGGAAGGATGTGCAGCCAAAGGACGAGGGAAATCCCCACTAAGTAGTCCTGAAGTGTGTACAAGTGCAGAGTGAGTGTTTCTGAGTGTGCTGCAGTTTGAGGCGGAGGTTTGGCCTCTCCTAGTTTGACTCATATTTTAGCTTTGATCCAGAGTTATTCAGGATGATCAAGTGTGCAGGAATTCAGCTCTCACTTCAGTAAAACGTTACCGGACTGGACGTAAACAGCTGCCGTGACTCATTGTGTGTTACAAGTCTCACTGACCACACACAAACCAGCGCCCATCTGACATACTTGTCAGCGATTATCTGAACACTCCAGCAGTGAAGTTATTTAATTAAAAAAAAAAAAAAGAAATCTGTTTTCAATCTGCACTTGGCCTCTTGTGCGAGCTGTTACTCACCCTGTCACTGTTCTTGTATTTGTCCCACTTCTTCACCATCTTCAGCCATTTCTCTGCTCGCTCTATCTCCTGCTGCTTCCGCTGTCAGAGTCAAAGAAGCCGGTAAACAAACAAAAAACACAACTAGAGTAACAGTTTGGTCTGCAGCTATGTGGCGTTCCCCTTCTTTACCTTCTCTTCGTGTGCAGTCGGGGCCGGCAGCTCGTCCTCGCTGGAGAGCATGAAGAAAAACAAACCGTCACAAATTGACCACAGCACGACTCCACCAGCTGGCAGGAAAACACTGTGACAAAACGTGACCAAACACACACAGCAGGACGGACTTACTGCATGAAGCCGAAGCGGTCGATGACTTTGTAGATGCTGTAGTCAGCATCTTCCCAGGGGTCGATCTCCACCCCGCCCTGCCTGCCCTGGAAACACGAAAACACACATAAACTTAGTTACACGGACACAGAGAGAGACAAAGGCATGATGAAAACATGCTGTATTATTCTGCAACCACACAAACACTCATGAGATGAGATAAGTGAGGGGTATTTTACTTTTGTGTTGTTAATGTACCGGGGGAGGGTGGAAAAAAAAGTGATTCACATAAGAATCTCACACATGCTAGAAACAATTTCCGAATCAAACTGTGATGCCAAATTTATAAGATTACCAAAGACTGCCCTGTTATATAAGCCAGGTTTGGGTTTGGCCAAAGCACCAGAAAAAAACAGGGATGTCTTGATCAGGGAAGAACACTTTT